TTTAAATAATAATATATTTATGTGTGATAAATAACACAAATTGGAAAACTGAGAGTAGAGCAAAGATAATATGACGACGTCAAGCACTGGAATATGAAAAGCTTATACGGGATAAATGTAACAACAAAGACGCAGATGCCGTAACTAACGCATGTCGGTGCAGAGCAAGGCCAGGCCGTGCACGCTGAGGCCGAGGAGCACAGCCAGAGCCCTGTCCGCGTTTTCCGTCTCCACCCGGAGCTGATCGCCGTCTCTCCTCAGCGTCGCTCTGATGGAGCCCAGCAGCTGCTCTGCCTGCTGGAAGACCTGGTTGTCCTGCAGCGGCGCAGGAACGGACAGGACGGACAGACTCCCGCCGCTCTCCTTTAACCGGCACATCTGCTGAGACGCAAGCAGAAAACAGACAGGGTTGAGCTGGACAGGAAGCTGTGCGTGTTCAGTGAGCTGTAAATTCTGCGATGGGATTTTGTTACCTTTAGACAAAAGGACAACATCCACTTCCCTCTGAACTAACGGACTAACGGATTTGTTTGATGGATTGAGATTTTTTTTAAATATCTTCATTCAGTGGAATAAGATAGAAAGGAAATTCATGTTTTTACCAAAGCACATAACCAATAGTTATGGGGAAAGAAAACAAACAGATCTATGACACTCTGAATGAGTTGTATCTCATTAAGTCTTCCAGATAGAAAGCTTGTATAAACGAGGATGTAGGTTTAAGGCAAATGAAATTGACCGACCAGCACATCAAACGCTGACAGAAAATCAGGTCGACTGTCGCTCAAAATGTTCAGCGTCTCATCAGGCAGCTCTGAAAGCAAAGACATGAGACAGGATTAAAAACTGAGACATTAACCGAGGCTGGACTGATTTATCTCCTGGTTCAAATATTGTCAAGGTTTCTCTTACCCTCCATGGCACTGACCAGCAGGTAAGCTGAGGGCAGGTGTGACGAGAAGCCAGTGGGGACGCATTCAGGGACAGGTGAACTTGTAGGAATTGTCTCCTTCTCACCAATAACGGGCGTCTCCGCTGTTTCACAATCACACAACTTCTCCAGCTGACAAAAAGGATCGTTCAGAGGGGAAAAGGGGAAAAAGATTGGCGATTTTTTTTTAAATGTACTTAATTTACAAAAAAAAATAAATAAAATGTTTAGAAATAACAAGTCACTTGTTGCGCAATTGCTATCGATTTAGGCAATAATTAAAAGTGGTCAGATGCTAGCTTCACTGGTCTGAGTCAAGTTAGCGTGACCCTCACCTCACTTTGTAAGTAGGACAGAGCAAATCTCTCTCGAAGAGCCTCTTGGAGCTTGTCCATCAGCTCACGTCGAGTCGACCTGGGGAGGTCCGCCAGAGGAGAAAGGTCCACATCCGACCATCCTGCAAGGTACCATCTTTGTCACCACAACTTCAAATTTAAAAACACAACTTTTTTTAGGTTTAGAGCTGACGCAGCAGATTTGATTCTTTGCATTGGTCTAGTAGGAAGGAGATTTGTTGGCTTGTTAATCATTCTAAATCTTAGCTTAAGAAAAGGGAACCTTGGTCTTTGCCAACATGTCAGCAGTGTGTTTCACTTCCTCATGTCAACTGCTTTAGTCCTTCCCATGGAAGAGAAATTGTGAATCACCGCTGTGAAAAACGGCGAAAGGAGCACCTCCTCCCCGAGCCCCGTGCCGGTCGAAACTGCCGTCCACTGCATCCGACGAGCCGTCCAACGGGATGGAGTCGCTCTCGAAACCTCCGATGGCGCTGGGTCGCAGGCATATTCCTGAAAACAATTCCAGAAGCAACAAAGATAAGGAAAACCCCGAAACATCAAATATAAGAGCTGAAAGCAAAGTAGCAAGAAGAAAAGGGATAAAGGAATGATCTCCTTCCCAGTTTTAACTCTTTGTTTTTTGGACTCATCCTCACCGTAGTGGCCGTTCTTTTTGATCTCCAGCTCCATTATGCTGTACGCGATCACGGTGCCAGAGGGAATCTCCAAGGAGACGTCGCTGTCCACCTCAATATTGTTCACGTCCTTTCCAAGCACCTACAAACACACGTTTAACACGCATGTATGTAGTCGCCTTCCTAAAATAATGGCCTTTTCTTTTTGTTTTTTTGTTTTTTTAGCAAAAACTGACTTGGTCCATTATTTTATGGAGGTAACGGTACACAAAGCGTCACATAAATGTGAAAAGCTGCTGGGCCGACCTTCACGGAGCCCCCCAGCAGGCCCATCAGGCCCAGCACGCCCTGAAAGGTGCACTGCTGCTTCTTGGTCATGGTGACGGAGCACGAGTTGGCGGTGAGGATGCGCTCCTTCACCACCGTCAGAACCTCGGCGCGCTTCTCCAGCTGCTGCACCAGGACGTGCTGCATGTCCACCAACCTGAGGCAGACAAAATCGGTCACACCAAAGCCCTTCTCTCAGTTTTACGTCCAGACACCTTCCTTCCTTCCTTGCGTTGGACCCGACGCAGAATGAACAATTCGTAAAAGACCGGCCGAAACCTTCCGTCGGAGTCCTTCAACAGCTTCTTGACATCCAGCTCCTCTTTCTTCAGCTTTCCGAAACACGACTCCAGCTTGGACAAACCCAGGCCCTCCAGACCGACGTTGACGGGACCGGCCTCGGTGTCCAGCTTCCCGGAGTGATCGTCCCGGTACGTCTCCTTGTAGGTCAGGAATTCTGTCTCGGAAACTCCTGCAAAAGAAAAACAAGTGACACCAGATTTGTATCTGGTGTTAAAAAATACTTCATGCACGAAAGCATGGGTGCCCAAAGTGGGTCCTGGAGGGCCGGCACCTTGCATGTTTGAGTTCTCTTCCCGGTTTAACACACCTGGATCAAATGATAGCTCATTTCTTAGGCCTCAGGAGAGGCCTAAGAAGAACACCGAGAAGGTAGTTGCCTTGGTCCATTATCCCAGGTGAAACCAGGGAGAGAACTAAATCGTGCAGGATGCCGGCCCTCCACTTTGGGCACCCGTGCACTAAAGTCTCTACTTAAAAATGAACAATTGGGGCATTTAAAAAGTGTTCTTCTTAGCCTAGTGAGGAGATGGGTCTTTAGGTTTTATTAAGCAGTTGTAAGATTGCTGTGGTTTCTATCCATCCCTTTGAGTGAGAAGCCAAGAGGCAGCGGCTCCAGAGTCGATGGAAAGACAGATGTCGATAAATACAGGGCAATCCCGGAAGAAAAACTGACCGGGGTTAACCTTTGATCCTTTGAACTCAGTGGTTTTAACTTGACAAATATAAAAATTTCAAGGCTTATGAATCTTCCTGCCAAGCAGTGACTGCAGCATCCATCAGAAAAACAGTAGCGTAACACAGAACAATTCTATTCTTGTGTGTGACTTCAAAATCCCTTGAAGTCACACCTACCGGGTCGGAGCGCCTCATCGCCCTGCAGCAGATCGCCCAGGGTGAAATCAGTCGGCTGGTACTTGGGCCTCTGCCACACCCAGAAGCGGTTGCGCTTGACCACAACTGCCATGGGGAGCAGTTTGTGGGAGTCGTTGACCCGGGACACGTGGATGAGGCTGCCCTCCGGATCAACCTGACGGACGAAGTTGGCAGTGGCCTTGGAAAACATGGCCTTGGCGGGAGAGGAGTCGAGAAAAGCTGGAAGAGATTTTATTTATTTACATATGAGGGATTCATTTTTGACATAGAGAGCACAGTGTTTTCATTAAAGCATGGGTGTTCACAACCCTTCAGGAAGGAAGTGCCCCGAATGCAACCGCACAAATGGAGGAATGATCTCACACTAACAACCACTGTGGGGCTCTGGTATCGTGGTTTTAGTTTCGAAAGCGCTCGGGAGCAAACGGAAGAAAGTGATCAACATCATTTGGGACTCTGTTGGACAGAAGAACGCTTGAACTAAACAACAGATGTGGCATCTGGCTGGCAGTCAGGAGCCACAGGCCCTGTTTGAACGAGCTGCGTGAGCTTCAAGTGGAAGAAACCGACTCTTGACGCTTCTGGGTTTCCATGTGAGTCGACTCGTGCGGGGCTGAATTTTTTAAGAGTCGCCGTAGTGTGTCGAGCCTTTCCCCTCTCTTCCAAGTTCAAAATCCACAGGCTCAGATGTACGGCTGGTGAATATTTCATGTTGCCTTTGTTCACTGTGATCTGAACCGAGGAGAACAAGCAGGAAACAACTTTATATATGTGCGTCTCCAACACGTGGTTTAACCAATGTTGATCAAAGAAATTCAAAGAAGACATGACGAAATCTTTTCTTTTCACCAAAGAAGTCATGTCAAGGTTTTATTTTGGGGGGGCTGGGGGGATGCCAGAGTTCTGTCCTGTGTTTGAGAGGAGAGGAGGTCTTCCAACCTGGCACCCTCAAAATGCTTACATGCAAAGGTCAGAGGGCTCCCTGGTGTTTTTAATCAATCATAAAATGGATTCAATTGCGGTGATGCCTGCCACTAATAAACTTTTGAATGAAAAAACAAATCTTCCTCTTGTAATTTACAGTAAGTACAGCCTCCACTTCTTTCCCCTCTTCCAGCCACGCTGCGCCTGGAGCCTCATGACTCAGATTACAAAAATTAGAGCAGGGAATCTGGAGTATCTGCAGGGCCTGGAAACGGCTGGACAGGACAAACAAACAAGTCTTCCCAAAAACGTATTTATAGCTCAGACCTGAATGGAGTCGCTTACCTCAGGCGCAGAGTTTGGAGCGCGGATTCCGGGTGTCAGGATGCACAGAGAGAGAGAGAGAGAGAGAGAGAGAGAGAGAGAGAGAGAGAGAGAGAGAGAGAGAGAGAGAGAGAGAGAGAGAGAGAGACAGACTCCGGCTCGACTCAGAAATATCCAGAGGCAAAAAACGGACCGATGGGCGGCTCTCATCCGCACTGATGTGAGCGGGACCAGATCTGGGGTTAAAAGGCGCAGCGGCCGTCCCGCTCCTCCGCCCACCCGGTGGAGTCACGGAGACCCGGTGGGACGTTTCTGCGCGGCCCATCGGGGCATGAGCAGACTTGCCTTTCCTTTTATACTTCTGATCAGTCAAAAAAAAAAAAAAATCCCCCCAAAAATCAAAGGAGAGAATATTTCTTGAACGTGGCTGTCTGCTGTCATGCTTTACATCCTAATGGTGAGAAGTAGGTAGAGAGATTTCAATGCACCACATCCTGTCATATGTAGAACAACACCTGTGCAATAGTGTTTATTTTTTTCTCACACACATTCAGAGGCGTTTTTAAGAGTCCGCAAAACCCTGTTCTGGATCTTTCGAGCCTCAGTCGAGAGTATGGACATTTATTTACAACTCATTATTTTTCCCCAAACAAAGGAGCTGCAGGAAACCAGCAGCTCCATATGACATCGGCGTCACCTCTGAAAACATTTTGGAAGTAATGATAATTAGTTATTGTCCCAAATTACTGTGTCATTTCACTTTTTAAATTGAGCTCACATTTTGGTATTGATAATGGTTTATTTCAATCTCACACGTCGAGTTTTCATTTGCTGCAAGGTCATCAGGAGTAACAGAAATAAAAGGCTTGCCAGCATCAATTTGTAATGGCAATTTTTTTCATTTAGGGAATATAAACTCTTCAATAATAATCAGTTTATTAATAGTGGCTGCTTCTCGGATTGTTTTCCAGACCGACTGTTTTTGCACAGGAACGTCCTTGAGGTCAGCGTCGATTTCTGATATGCTGTATGTGGGCAACCTCCCAGGGCGGTATCTCATCAGTGGCGGCATAAGAAACACCATTTCAGCGAATGTACCTCTGTTGAACGACTTTGTTTTTCCTTTTGAGGAAGTTTTCCAAACTTGCGCTCCTCTTCATCACCACTAAGCCTTCCTTCCTGTGATTTGCCATGGAAGATCAGGACAGGGGTTGTTCACAAAATGCGCCCTCATTTTGAACTTGCGGTTCAACACTTCTGTGCAAGCACTGCTAAAAAAAGTTTGTCCCATATATACCCAATTATCTGCAGGGTAAATTTGAGAAAAATCCACCCTACAACACTTTAAAGCAGACAGAAATACAATATACTGAAGAGTGGAGTAAAATAATTTTCACCTGGAATGAAGTGAAATAAACCGCTGCATGTAATATTTATAATGAATAAATAATGCGTATTTCTTCCACTCATTGTAATATTTTATTATATACTTCCAAAAGGGAGCATTTGTGCTATTTCCTTAAGAGAAAACGGCATCCAGTCCTGCTACAGACATGAATGATGTGAACAAGGCAGCATACTGAAAAAGGCAGTACTTACGTATTTTGTTTTTTTAGATATATAAAAGCTGATCAGCTTATTGCTGAAGTCAGCAGAAAGTCACCGTGTCATTAATGTGACACAAGAGAAGAACACAGAAGTGTGATGCGACCTCCAGTCGACCTTCAGACGGCCACCAGTCTCAAGATAAAGGTACTTTTGCATAACTGCTCCTGCAGTTCTGAGTGCAGCATTACAGTGAAAAGGCACTTGGATAAACGGTGAAAAGCAGTAAAACACGCTGATCTGCACCTTTAGTCTGTGGCAGAAAATGTACACAAACGAGAATAATATATACACCACAGGCTCCGTGTACACTTGCTCCCAAAGAGGAAGCAGGAGGTCCATGTGTGGGATACTGTGACACAGAGCAGTTCATGTTAACCAGGTCGGTGTTCCTGATTGCTGAACTTCATTTAGTTTTATTATGTTTTCTGACCGGCAGGTCACCACAACACGGGAAAGTCCACTTTGCTAAAGCCGGGGTCTCTGCGCTGCTCCCAGTACGTGTCGTTGCTCACCCATGTGTCGTCCTTGGACTTCCTACACAAACAAAACAACACATATTTAATCGGAGAACAGCGTCTGATTCATTTCTTTAGTAGTTGCGTGACAAATTATGCCCGGCTCTGACGAATGCCAAACCAAACAAGTCGGACTTTTACATGAACTCATCCCTAGTTGCATGAGGCCAGTTGGAATTAAAGCGTGCATCAGATCGAACACAAGAACCTGCAGGTAGAAAGTCGCATACTTGAAAAATCGTGGCTGATGGGTCATGCTGTTGTCCTGCAGCACTCTCCTCCTCTCCCTCTGGAGCTGCTCTATCCTCTGTTTCTGCTCTTCAGCTCCGTCTATGTTCCCCTCCTCCAGCAGCCTGGTGCAACCAGAAACACAAGTAGCTGAGTGGTGAAAATGTCTATGGCTCACAATCTTGCTGCACTTTGGTGGAGGGATGGACGAGAAACTTTAAAAAAAGGAACAACTAAAAGCCTAGAAATTAAAAGCTTTTTCTATCTTTCATTCTCTTTTGACGTTGTCATTTGAATCCGTTTGAACATGTTAGAAATAAAAACAACTTAAAAGCACCAGCAAGTAGTGATCATGTTCTGATTCTGCCCAGTAAACAGGAACGAGAAGAGAGCGAACCTCTGGTCCGGCCTGAAACGCGTGTCTGTGGGGGGCAGCATTGGTTTTAAGAAGGGGTCCAGTTCATTTAGCTCCACTGCAAACTGCGTGAAACCGTAGTACTGGTTATGCTCCACTGGCATGGGATCTGCAGGCAAACGCACGACAAACCGAATTTACCATCATGTCTGTGAAAGAACCAAGGTGGCTGAGATTTCCTGGCTGTCGTTTTTCACTCACTCGCTCTCCAAGTACAAGTGGCAGAAGGAGGGTCTCCTTGAAACACTGATTCATGCCATTTTCCAAAAATGGTGTGCACCACTTTCCCATTTGAATCTGTAACCACACCTTGTATCTCGTTGACTGTGGAGTTCCATGATTTGGCCTGAGGAGAAAAATTTGTTTTTAGAAAGAGAGGCAGAAAGATTCAAGGTTCTGTGTATGAATACGGTTCAAATGGCAGCAGAAGTCATCCAGCCAACTGCTGACAAATTTGTCCTTACCCGGGACAGAGGCAAAAAAAAAAAAAACTAGTTAGCAAAAGCATGCTAGCAGCTACTTGGCGGTAGCCTCAACAAAATAAAAATGTCTGCGCACGACTCAAACTTTTGCCTGACAGAAAAGTCCCATGAAAAAACAAACAAACAAAAAACTACACCTACTAAACTAGACATGAGAACAAAATTTGAGACCTGTAATTAACGTATTTAAGGATAACTTACTTTCTTAAATTTGTGTATTCAAAATTAAGGCCTTAAAGTATCTCAAACTCATTTAAGACATTTTAAGGATGTGTGGACACCCTATTTGTAATTATTTTAAAAAATGTAACTCATGCAGTCATAATCATGAAACCCAGCATGATTATCATTTATTACCATTTTTGTAATAAAACTATACAATCACTATGTGAATGGAAACAAGTAAATGTTCAGAGATATTCTCTAATTTACTGGGATTTACTTGTCCATTTAGGAGAAACATTTTCTGAGCTCATCCTTCTGTCCCCAATATATCCATATTTCCTCCACTAGATGGCAGTGTTGGCATCGACAGCGTAACAAAGACAGCATAGGGCTCTTTATTTAAACACAGTGCTCTGATAAAACATCACAGAAGAATTTGAAGCACAGAACACGTCTGCATTTGATTTTTTTTCACCTTGACAAATGTTACTTTGCACTGGCAGACATCACTGCTCGTGTTCTTGATGGCCATCTCTCCATAGTGCTCAATCCAGCGCTGGCCGCTAAGGATGTTGTGGATGCAGGACGTCACTTTGTTCCATTCGTAGTGATCCCCGAAGCTGCGGGAAAAACATGCGCACAATTCTCCTGCTATTGTTTCACAATGACATGCTTTGTTGTGCACAATTACTCAGACATTCTGATTAAACATACACACCCACAGGATTTTAAGACAAAAAAAAACAACAAAACAAACGGAGAGGACCTACGCAGGTAGTGTGACATGTGTGGTTCCCATGGGAACTATTTCCATGGACTTTCCCCAGAATTTATTTTTCCATCGCACATCTAAAATGGACAACACAAAACAACAGGTGAGAGGCTGTGACGGTAGAAAGAGCGCTATTCTCATTTAAATCGTCACAGTGTTAATCTGACCAATTTTTACAATTGGTTTCTGGTTCATGTAGATTCATGGAAACAAACAAAGCATCGCTTTCTTTTACTACCTTTGGATTATCGGTTTGAAATGGATGTTATGCTGAATCTAACATGCATCTGTTGTTATGTTTCAGGAATATCAACTAAGATCAAGGGGCCAAATGAGCGTAATTTAAATCACAAACAAGTTTTCATCCAAAACGTTAAGATGCTGAAGCATGAAACAGACAGTATGACAGCACGGATCTACTAGGAGGAAATAAGGTAATTTCAAACATGCGCTCACCTTGCCAAAAGCAGAAGTTCTTTGAATCACAGTGACATGCTGAGACAGGTGGATGATGACTCACCTGGGAATCGGAGAGAAGAAATGATAAGTTACTTTGTGTTTGGTGAAAATCAGCAAGGCGACAAAATGGAATCACTTGCTCTGAATTATTTAGAAAGCGAAAGTTGCTAGTCGGCACCCATTTCCTAAATTTTGGGTTCACTGGCGATCAAACGAATCGCAGTGCTGTATAGTTCAATTGTAAAAACACGAAGAACGTGAGTGGAAAAAAAAAAAAAGACATCCTGATGAGGAAACGGCTCTTTATCCACTGATCTTATTAAAATCTAAGTAACCACAAAGCTGCTGCATTCGGCTATTTCCTTTTTTCAATACAAGATCTAAAACACAGGACACTATGTGTCGTTCAAGTTATTTTGTTAGTTCGTCCTCAACAGACCTTGTGAATTTGCAAAATCAAAATACCGACTGCTGTGCACTTTAGCTTTAGCGAGAGGCTCAAAGCAGATCTGTAGTCTGACCAGTTGTGCAAGTTGTGTTTGTTTTTAAAATGTTAGAAGTGACTGACGAGTGGCACAGACGTTCTTTTTTTTTTTTTTAATCAGCGTACGTAATTTAATAGTTTGGACAGAAACACTCTCAACTTTTCATTTAAATTTGAGAACACTATATACTTTAGTGAGTGGAAAATGTGTGATAGC